ACAAATAACTTCATTTCTGGACATTTATGGTTTGATTTCTTTGTATGTATGGATCACTTGGGTTGTTACCGACATCTGGTGAAAATTTCACGTCATTGGCATCTCTAGTAATATATTTACTGAGGAAAATGTTGACGTGTTCAATACTTATTTTACCCGCTGTAATAGTTCAGTCAACAGTTGTAGCTTACTGATTTGTGCAAGAATAAATTCTCCAAAATCACTGATTTGTGAGAAGTTAAAAACCAAAGATTTTCTTCTTGTCATTGACTGAGCAAAGSGAAGGATCATTCAACATCTGAACGCTTCATGTGTTTCCTGTAGTCTGACTGTAAAAATCCAAAGAGCACCAAACTATAGAACAAGTTCATGACCRCTGTCACATTTCTTATATCTGAAATGTCAAAGAGCACAGAGGAGCGGACAGAAAGGGCGATACAGTTACATAACTTCTGTGGATGACTGATGCAAAGGTCTTTTATCTCCTCTGTAGAAAAACTGGCTCAAACTCTTGGGCTCCAAGACGACTAATGAACATTAAGAAATGTCACTCACGCTGGCCTGAAATTAAAACGGGAGGCATCCCAGATGCATGAAGTCAGAGGTCCTGCTTTAATTGGATGCATGGAAATATGACTTGATTAACCACTGATAGGATTAATGGGATGGACGAGAGAACGCTGTCGTGTTGATTGTTAACATATTTATCTGAGACAAAACTTACACAAGGTTGAAAACAAGGCTTCAGCTGCTTCACATCTTCTGTTTGTTTGTAGTTTTTAGAAGAATTTCTTTTTGAGCCCAACAGTGATTTTGTGTCATTTAAAGAAAAGCGTCTGATGCATTCAACCTGTTTTAGATTTGAGAAGTTTTGATTTGGTTTTCTGTTTCTGACGTCAAATTATTTGCAAACATAATGATAAAKCTAAAGGGGTGTCATAGAAGTTAATCTGTTGAATTAAGAGAAATAAAATATATGTTTGCATCTTGTTTTGTGGGAATCTAAAGGTCGCAAATAAGCCTGATGTTTAACGACTACTTTTAAACAATAAATTTAAACATGTTGCTATATTAGAAAGAATTAACAATTGTTACATTTTAATTAGTTTTTTTGTTTTACAAAAAACATCTAAATAAGTTCAATAAATGCATGCAAGTGTGATCCAGAATGAGTTATGATAATAAATCATTTTAAAATTACAAAACTGAGTTTCATCAAAGTAACAGTTTGCAAATGGAAAAAAAAGTAGAAGTCATATTTAAGTATTCCTATAATAAAGATCTAATCTGTAACTTTTTGTTTTGTCTTCTTTTTAGTTTTCTTATCTGTTTTCCCAGATAATATCAGCATCCATCATCGCTGTTGGACTTAATATGAAGCTGTTTGTGTCGTTTGGAGAAGAAGCCACCGTGTTTATCAGTGTCTCTTTTATCTGCCTGTTCTCTGCTTCAATAGCATCTTTGACACAAAAGCACTTTGATCCTCACATCGAGCGAGCAGCAGCAGCTCAGCGGGGCGCCGTAGGGTCTGAGCCACGTTTTACCCTGAATGTTCAGACCTGCCGTCGTTAAACTATCGGACAGGCCTTTTAATAGCTTTCACTGCTTTGTTCTCCAATATTTACAGGTTAAAGATGTCACTAATTAGTTTAATTGAAATATAGAGGTAAACAGAGATCTGCTACAATATTTGTTTTCTTTATATGGCTCTTTGATACAAAGTGCTGAACAGCAAAACTAAGTTATAATAATATTCATTAAAATTAATGTAAGAAATTAACAAAGTAGTCAAATAGTTTAAAAAAGCTATCACTTAAATCAATCAAAGGTTCCTTTATAAAGAATTTCTTACGGTCATTCTTTTTAAATATGTAATCTGAGTTTTTTCCTCTTTTGTAGATGATAAGTGTTCATAACTGTTATAAATTATTGTTTAAAGCAATAAAATGAGCTTATTACCTGCAGATGCTCACAATGTTTATATTCAGGTGACCTAATGACAATGTTTGATTTTTAAAATCTGGATGATTAAGAATCTTAAACAAATGTTTCTGCAATAAAACAAGCTGTCAGGATCTATTTATTGATTTATTTTCATGTTTTTTGTTTATTGTTGGTTTTATTTTAATTTTTTATTGTTTGTTTGATTAGTTTTTTTCTGTCATCAGTCAGTTTCTGTTTCTCAGTCAATGTTTAACCCTCAGTGTCGTTGCAGCCATCCTGCCACGCTCATCCACACCTGCTTTCTGTGTCACCTGTCACAGCTGCAGCCACTTCCCTCATCGGTCACAGCTTTTTTATTAGTTCAGACCTCATCCTCCCACAGTGGAGCATTGTTTGCTTTTTGAATAAAGTTAGGCTTTATTTTTGAAATCCTCAAGTAAGTCTGCAGTCCTGGGTTCTGTCCCACAAATCAACACTGAAGAGAGAACTCATTTACGCATTTTTTCAAAAGTGATTTTATACATGCTATAATAAAAGCACTATATTTTTATATATATATACACTTTTGTTGTTTTTGAAAAATAGAAATATCTTTACATTAACTATAAATTGTAATAAAAATACATTTTGAGAACTGAATCAATATGTTTAAGACTTGTAATGACGGTTTTATCAGCAGATCAATGTATATCTACAATGTTTAATTCTACTAAACAAGTTCAGTCTTTTTTATTGAAATAAGTTTATATTCATTCATGTAGTTTTGACAGTACGAGACTTCAAAGAGTTTTGGCTTTTATTTTTATATCCCAATCCAAATCTTACCAATGGAAAGGAATTTCCTGCCTTAATTAAACAAACAGACCCTGTTTGTAACGTATAATGAAAAAGAACAAGTCCAGAAATAAAGCTTTGTGGAACTCCATTTGTCATTAGAGTTGYACCTGAAAACATATTTTCAGTGTATGTACATGGAAAAACAGTAAACCTATTATATTAAAAATACCATCAATGCTTGCTTTAAACTAAATGTTTGAATTTAACAAATCAAACTGCAGCAAAATTGTCTTGGTGCTCAGGTAAAACCTCACAAATAAAAAAAAGCACTCAAACAAATTGTTTTTGTCCTGTAATCACTTTATACACTTCTTTACAGAAACTGTGTTCAGGAGGAAACAACAATCATCACATAATCATCTGAATAAAGTGTTGAAGATAAGTTAACACTTGTGAATAAATCTGAAAAATAAAAGCATTCCTAACAGTCTTTAGATAGAGTGAAAACATTTTACTGGAGAGGCATGATGACATTTCCATCTTTACCATTTTTTTAAGATGCTTCCAGTTTAAGGCGTAACAGTTTGACTGGAGTTAAATGAAGATGAGGATCAAAACATGCTTCTAAAATTTAAAATCACTTTAAAATGCCTCGCTACATGTTGCATTAAAAACCAAGGGTTAACGTGAAGCAACACATAAC